TTTTATTCTATGTGCCTCATTGCTTACGTTATCGAATATTTTCAGACATTCTGTGAGGAGCTCCTCCGAGATATGAACAAGAACGTTGCTCTGGCTCAGCTTCCGGTCCGGGTCAAAGATCCCGTCTACGGCAATGGGAAACCAAGTTTCACCGAATTCATGGCACCCGGAATCATTCTCTCGATTACCTATATCATGGCCGTAGCTCTAACGTCCATTTCGATCATCATGGAGAGCCGCGAAGGTACCATGGAACGTTGCTGGGTGGCCGGCGTGAAACCCTTTGAAGTCATTGGGTCTCACGTCATATCCCAATTCTGCGTCATGTGCGTCCAGGTGGCATCGCTGCTCTTCTTCATTTTCGCAATATTCGGGATTCCACTCGAGGGCTCATTCATCACCGTCGTCTTCCTGACTTTCACTCAAGGCCTAACTGGAATGACGTATGGGCTTGTCATCTCGTCTATCTGCAGCGAAGAGCAATCTGCGATGATGTTGTCGCTCGGTTCCTTCTACCCGAATCTGCTCTTGAGCGGTACGTGACAGAGTCTCCAATTACCCGGTTTCTCCACACTCGTTCATCGAGGGGCGTTCCCGGAAAGTATCTATGTATATATCATGAATGTTCCGCACTCGGTCCTCCGCACTCTTTTCCCTTCCTGCCTAGTGTTTTCGACTCGAATTCTTGCCAGGTATCTCCTATCGTACACTTGAATTGCAGGAATAATCTGGCCAGTACAAGCGATGCCAAGCGTCGTCCGCTACGTCGCCTACGGACTCCCCCAAACTATCCCCACCGAAGCGCTGCGCTGTATCATGTACCGCGGTTGGGGCGTAGATAGAAACGAAGTTTGGCTAGGCTTCGGTGTATCCATTGGTTGGTCGATTTTCTTCCTGCTCTTCGCCACTATCGCGTCCAAAGCCCGAAAGTGAACAGAGTCGTGACTCGTGACCTTCGGAAGTCTAGTCATGTGATGTTTATTGAATTGAATAATATATATCCAAGATGACTCGCAATAATGTCAATTAAATGTACTCACTCATTACTCGCTGCCTTGCTGCTGATTAATCGGGGGAAGAAGAGGGAAGGGAATGCGGCTCGGCGCCCGATGTAGCACAGCACCTTCCTTCCTCCCTCGGCTGGTATTCCTTTCCATGGAATCCTGTTTATCCACATCATACATCCGTACATGGATGATATGGATCATAATTTCCAAGGGGGCAGGTCCCGTCCGTCCTATCGGATGAGGACGTATGTGGAAGCCTCCGAGGTATAGGGTGCTCATTCGATAGTGGAGTAAATCTTCTTTTAACAATTTCCGGTCCGAGATCCGGAGCAAAGTACGTAATTCCACTTGACATTCTCGAGGAGTGAGTGGCAAACTTGAGGTCCTGCCCCTGCACCGAGAGCCAATATTTGAAGTTCTCGGCGCGAAACCCGAGGGAAAAAGCGACGCCGAGAACAACCTCGAGCGTAAAATTGAGAAATGATCCCGGGCCGAATCGAGATGAATACTCGATTTGTGATTCTTCGAAGAGAGGAGACGTCGTTCCCTGATAGAGTTGATAGTCGGTGTGCATTCGGAAGTAGATTGTCCCGTCCCGCTTCCCGGACATTGAACCTAGACATTGTAGATATGTATCAAATCGAGAGGCAGAATGCTTTCGTGCCATCTGGCAGCTCCCACTTCTCGAGGAATCTCTCCAGGGAGCTCCGCTCGCCTAGACATCAATCCGGGCTCCCATCTTGAACTCGAATTCATTAGGAGTTCAGCGCGCGATACGAAAAATCTAGTGAGGGCCCTCGATCTATCCGGCAATTCCTGAGCTTCCCGCGGAAAAGAGTCCTGATCGCGGCTCGCGTGGAAGATTCGAAGGGCCCCGAAGCTAAGCCGCTGCTAGTCCACGGCAGGATTAGTCCTATTCCGTAATCGCCGGCGTATTCCGTCATCGATGGCTTTTGATCGTTTTCGCAATGTCAAAACCGAAATAATGACGTTATTCGACGCGTGACGCATCACGATTCCAAGAAAGAAGGGACATCGTTATCCGACTCGTCGTCACCTCAGCTCGTGGGGACAAATAATCCTTCTAGTTTCAGTGAGCTAAGAAGAGCGAAATGATGCGTTTGGCCTCCACTCGCTATCCAGCCTCACGCGAAATCGAAAGCCTCTCGCAACTCGGAACCACGACGCGGATAGATCCTCTGCGCGGAAGAGTTTCAGTGTCATCTAAAACCCCTCCCTGTGACGTTTCCTGCAATCATATTACCGATACTGTCCGGAAAATTGTTCTAAGCTTGGAGCGACTTCGATTTCGACGTCATTCCATTCCGTTACCCAACTACTCCGATCACATTTCGTTTTTCGTTCGGAGCCCTGCCGACGTTGCGTTGTTACCCTCGCCGCACTCGAGGCCGGAAGCAATATAATTTGCGCCGGCGCGAACTATAGAGCAGTGTTTCCCAAGCAGTGTTTCCCAAACTGGGTTCCGCGGAACCCCAAAGTCTACCTGCGGAACCCTAACGGAACCCCGTCGGAACACCTAGGGATTCCGTGGAAGAAAAAGTTTGGGAGCCATTGCTATAGAGCATCAGACAGCTTTCTGCGCTCACAATAGCAGCGAGTTGGAATTTTGGAATTCACTGCCCCTGCCGTATCATCGGACTTCTGAGGTACGGGAACGTCCCCCAGAGACTTGCTCCCACTTATCGCCGACGAGAACTTGTCAGGACGGAGCCTAACGAATCCGTGGAGAAGTCGATCCCGTAGGAATCTCAAAATCTGGAGAATTGTGCTCATCTTAAGGTGCGGCTTCCCTGCGATCAAATCTGGGCGTGTTCGCACATCTCTTAACCCAACTCCGGCGATGGCCACCCACGAAGACAACGGGAGCACGGCCAAGAGCAGCGGAACAGCCCAACGCAGCGGGACAGTGCCTCGGACTTACGGAATGAATTCCTCCCGGCTTTCGGGAGCAAGCAATTGGTCATCGTTGACGGCTGTAAAAAACAATAAGGATCCCTCGATGGTGCCTGGAAGAAATTCGACAGCGTCCTCCCGAATCCAACGCACCGAAAAACGTTATCCGTCCGAAAGTCGCTTGCACCCTGACGAAGAGAGGGAAAGTAGTAGCAGCCGCTTCTCGAGCCGCTGGAGGAGACGACGCCGACGGCGCGATGGGTCGCGGAGTTGGTTTCGCCAGACGGTTCGAAGACCGTTCCGGACCTGAAACATCTCTCAAATACTCCACTGAGGGCATGCTCCTCCGGGGAGCGATGGTCGAGCCAACGCTCGAGGTCTACAGCTGCGTAGTGTTGGATGAGGTCCACGAGAGAACTCTCGCCTCCGACATCCTCATAGGTCTGCTGAAACGGATAGCCAAGCGTCGACCCGAACTGAGACTCATGGTCATGAGTCATGACGAAGTCTCCCCTTGTTGATTCACGGAACTGAAGAAGCTCGACTTTCTTGAATGTCTACGAAGCTTTCAGTCAAGCTGAATATCCTGAGCAATGGTGTCGGGACAACTCATTGAGCTTCGATCTCCTCTCCCGAGCAGATTACATTCGACAGCAGCTCTCAAGAAGCAAGGATCGCTCCATTCGCAGAAAAGCCTTAGCGGAAAAAGCTTCGAAGAATATTTCCATGGGTACTCGGAAGGCTTTGGTGGCTGGAGGCTCCATGCATGTCGCTTATCGAGGGCACGACGAACAGAATCGTTGTACAAAGAGTAATAGGATAAAAAAAAAGTAATAGGATTGTGAAGCTTCCTCGCTCGACCTCCCTTGGCAGGCAGCCTGAATGGGTTCTATATGAACAGCTCATCGAGGGCCCCGAGGTATATATCGGGAAACTCACCGCCATCGAGCCTCGATGGCTGCTCGAATTCGCCCCGAGATTCTCCAAGGGGAGCTGGCTCCTTCCCGAGAAGGCAAAACACATACTCGAGAAAATCGTATGCCCAGAGTAGCCGAGGGTGGGGAAATCCCAGGAAGGTCTCCTTGAACATGGTCAAGATCTATTGAGCACATTATGATTTTTGCTCGTTTGCAATCATTACTATGGTTGACACATAGTTTCAAAGACTCCTCTGAAGTCTGTTGCTCATATAAACTCCGGTTATGGGTTCTTCCAAGAAAAAAGATTGCTAATCCAGCCTCGTTTTATAACAAACTCTGAGTAGGTATATTGAAAAGCAGACCAAGCTCCTTTCACGGTTTAGGACCCATCTGCGGTTCTCTGAGGAATTCGGGTCTTATAAGATCTTTTCGTAACTCAATGTAAGCATCAGGGTGACTGAACATGGTATTCCTCAACTCGGTCTCCAGATGGAAGGGAGGCAGAACAACACCGATATGCGCCAAGTCGAAAGGATTGCTGTTCAAGAGAGATGGTTCGTCGCATAGTCGAGCGTTCACTTCAACCAAGGCCCCTGGGGAGAGAACAATCATATTATTAATTATTATTATTAACATTATTATTAATTATAGATCCATCGCCCGATGGATTGAAAGCCCAACGGCGCTCAGTACGAAGTACAAGGCATGGCGATCGCTTGTGCGAGCGTGTCGTTCTCTCACTCACCGGGGACGCATGCTCTCACGGTGAAGATCCTGTTCTCCGCATGGATATAGCACAGGGAACTGTCTTTTTTGACTCGTTGACCACCTTTTTTCCATTTGCCGCTCACCTACAGAGGAGATGTCAGAAAAAAATGTGGGCACGGCACGATGCTGCCGTACAGCGAGAATCCGTAATTGAGTGAGGCATGCAACAAGGATCGAAGGAAACTCAACCTGACCTTATTCTCGAGACGATTCAGGGATTCGTTGATTCTGAAGTCAACTCGATCAACCCTCAAACGCTCCCTCACGATCGTATGTGATGGCGCCAAAGAGACGACAGCGACGCGATTCGAGTGAATTAAAATCATGAGATCATCCATCTGCTCTGATGGGTCCACGTAGAATCGTGGCGCAAAATACCGTTCTATAGCTGAGGGTAAGTTGTGCACACGTTTTACCAGAGCTAATCTATCCCAGTCATGCGAATCATTTTTGCTTACAAGGAGCGGCTCGTCCATCTCCTTGTCCTTATTCGGCTCCTGGTGATGGAGAAAGAAGAAAAAATGAGTCACCACTTTCTACTCAGACACCATGGACGAGTTTCCGATCTCATCGCCGTTCTCATTCCCTTATTTCTTTGGAGGTGATTGTGAATAGAAAGGATTTGAGGAAGGGACCATGGAGAGACATCGAGAAGGCGGAGGGAGGCCGCACATCAAACAAGGAGTCTGACTCTTCCCGACAATACATGAAGTCGAACTTACCACCGGCAGCATCGATTCTACCGAATCTTCCCTCATCTCGATCTGCAGTTGTCACTCTCCGGTTTCGTAATCGGGAGGGGGGGAAGCTTTCTTGAGGAAGCGAATTCTCTCACAGAACAGCTGATGGCACGAAAGGCGATTTGAGTACATGTATCTTGCGTTTCCGAGTTCGCGCAACCTCTCTCTTTCGTCCGGGGTCAGAGCGCACGGGGCTGCTTGAGTCACACGGCAAGTCGTGACCTGAAATCCAATCTTTGAATCCGATCGATTCCCAAAAAGCGGCGAGGTCTGTGTTGTGAGTTTTGATGCGAGATCAGCTGACTTTCTTTCGAAGACTTGCTGCTCCCGGAAGTTCATCGCGCAGAGCTTTGATTCCCTCCGCGCGCTCTTCGGCTCAAGATCACACACCAGCAATGAGATTCTCTCCCGAAATCGATCTGCAGACTTTTTCCTGTCCCACAGCGATGCGACGAAAAACGAATTGATAGGATAGGAGGCCCGGGTTCGTCGTGAAAGGAGCCGGATTCTCTGAAATCGAATGCCACGCAGTCTGTGGGAGAAGGCCGAGTTTTTCTACCGTAGGGATGGATGCTCGGCTTGAGCTTTGGATCCCCTGCCCGTGATGCGGATTTAGCAGAGCACATAATATGGACCTGCAAGCAACCCTCAGTCCGTGATTAGCCCTTGCGAGTAGCGCTCGAGCACTCCAGCCTCCATTTCTAGAATTCTAGAGAATATCACGACAGAACTCCCTCTTGACCAAACTCGGGATGAACGATCGAGCACAACAGGGACGGACTCATTTTAGAGAAAATATTCTCAGAGAAGTCGTTGTGTTCCCCGACTACCTTGTCACTTGTCTACGTCACGCGAACACAGGAGGAGCGTTTCGAGAGCGCTGCCGAGTACGAGCGAGTGAAGAACGTCTTCGTTGTCACGCCAGAAGTCATGGACGAGCGAAGTGCAAGATAGCCGTCATGCATCCTCTGCCTCGAGTCAACGAGATCTGGACTTCGCAGTTCCTCCGCTTCGCCGTCTCGAGGAAATAACTTACTGGACTTACGAAGGATTACCCCTTCACGATGAAGCCGATCCCCTTCTCGCCGCCCCGATTCCGATACAGACCCGAGAGCAGCCTACTTCAGGCAGAGTAGAAACGTGAGGATGGCTCTACACACGAATCCAGGGAGCGAACTGACGCATCTTAAAGGATCGAGACGAGATTCTCTATTCAGTCCAAGAAAGTTCTCACTCAGTCTGATCCGCGAAGATTGGCCAGTATTAGGTCCGGGTCCGGATGGGCCATATATCCGAAGTCTTCCGTATATCACTCGAGATTACCACATAGAAATGATCACGTTGCGTATTCCTCCGTTTAGACGCCCGCTTGCGGTTAGGATTGGCTCTGACGGAGACAGAACCAAGATTTTTATTTGGTGATAGCTGAGGACTAAAGCAGCCAATTCTTCAGAATAATAAGCGAATGGGAGCCATCGAGGTGAATCTTGAGAAGCAAAGGGTGATTCCGTGATTCCTATCAAAGTTAGTCGTTGAAGGATTTGCTCCGTCCGTCGCAGATGAGCTCTCACCACGTGCTACGGATTCCCACGACGTACATGTCATGCGACCTATGCTTCTCGGGACAGCGGGCATTCGATAGATAAGGAATCGCGTCGATCCTTATCGAGCATCGCGAGTCGCGACTCGCGACCGAAGGAAGTTTTCGAGGCGGCACTCTCCCGAACATCAACGACTCCGTAATGTTCGTGAGAGGGATGGGAGCCATAATTGCTGGCTCGGGATCTCGAGTTGCTGACATCTTGTCCCTCATGCAGCTTAACTGGAGCCGTCTGCCGCCTCTTTGCTGGAATTCGCTCCGTCTGTTGGATTCCGTGGGAGAAGAACGGCGCGATTCTCAATTCAGTCAATTCGAAGCAAGGATCATCATCATCATCGCCCGATGAACACATTGGTCTGCAAGCGCTCATGAACGGGGGAGTCCTGTCTCGGAGACATTATTAGCTTGCGCTCCTCTGCTTTCTCTGACGTTCCTGAGGGACATTCGCGGAAGAGCAGCCTCATTCAGTGCAGAAGGGAGGCTCTCCTGTCGTTCGCAAGAGGAAATCAGTTCTAGAACCCTTGGGGAAAATTGTGGAGTGCCTCGGATGAGATTCTTGTCGACAGGCGAATGAAATCCACTTTTCTATAAAAACTTCGAGGAATTCTGTGTGCGAGAGGCCTCCCATCATTGAACGATTTCGGTGAGTTTTCCCAATATCCTCATCATGCCTGTCCAAGTCATTCGGATCTGGTCGGGGACCTGTTCCCCGCTGAGAATGCCCGCTGTCTCTCGGTCTGGAGTGACGTGAAGTGTTCCATTTCATACAGCTTCCCAGCTTCCCTAAAACTGCGCCCCAATGCGGAGCGAGTTTCTATGCGTGCAATACGTACGGACGTGAATGATGGTCAAGGACGTCCTCCTTCTCTTGGAGCCCGATGGAACTGACTGAGATGAAATGAGTCCGCTATGAGAATTTCATTCAATCGAACTTCGGCATCGCATCGGTCTATCGCGAGAAACTTCCAGCGTAGTGGACCCTTGGAGCGGAACTTGCAAAACAAAACGCGATCTGAACGATTTCGATTTCTCCCCTGGATGCCGCTCAAAATCGTTGGAATCATTACGAATTCGTCGCGGTACTCCATGCTCATCGCGATGAATTATCCTACCCCTGATGAGGGTCGCAAAGTGAAGTCTGTGAGGTCCGCAGGCCCTGAGTACTATGGTTTCGATCCAGAGTTGAGATTCCGCTCAGGAACCAAGAGGGTTTTACGGATAGTCAGAAATGAAGAGAAGTCCTCTGCGGTTATGAGTTCCCGGATCATGATATTCAATTGAGGATTTGCACTTTCTTGGACACGCCAGAGATTCCGCATCTCGGGGAGTAACGGACGGAAGCTACGCTTTCTTGTCGACTGCGCGTGCATCGACTATCGACTCTCCCCCTGTGTTTTGTATTTTAATCCTAATTTGCAAGGATCCTGGAATCTCCGCGATCCCTTCGTAACTCTGGCTCGCCTTCTTGTCGATTCCGCGCGGTCTCGCATAATCTATAATTGCTTTCGAACGGCCAGAAAGTGGCGCGATTCGACTCGGCTGTTTTCGGGATTGACCCTTGATATGACCTAAGAGTCTTCATGATGCTCATTCTATTCGACTGATTCTCCCTGCCCGACCGAACGAACTTCATCGAATGGGGAATGTAAGCGTATCTAAGGATTCGATTCCCAATCCGTTAGCGGGCAAGGGACCTCCATGCCGAGCCTTTGAGATAGTCCTCGAAGAGGCTCTGCGGCGTTCTCCAATAAGAATCCGATCGGGAGTATGTACTGAGTAGTGATTCCCCGAAGAGCAAGCGAGAAAGCCCACGATGAACCTTCTCCTCTGGATCTAGTTCCGTCCTACGCCCACACATTCTATCCCCCGGGCAGCATTGACTCCCGACAATTACGGCATGGAAGTTGTGGGGAATCTCCCACGGAGTCTGGCTCTTGCTCGCGATGCTCTCTCGTAGTGAAATCCTAATCGGGAACGCCCGCTGTCTTGGTTTGTGGTCCTGGAAGAGCGAGATCCCGGAGCCAGAACTCTGATTTGGCAACGGCCTTCTCGGCGGAAAGAAAGATTGTAGCAGATCTCTTCCCGACGATGATCCGCCTCTTGCGAGGTATCGCTGCACACAAAATCGCCATCGAGCACAGGGGAAGCAGCATTTGCGATCGAAGGGCTCGACAGCTCAGAGACCGGCCGACTCAAGAAGCATACCACGCGTAAATCGATATCGACTTTGATACATAGTTGATGAAGACGCCCATACGGGACTTTGGAATTCACATCGATGAGCCTCGCAAGTCGTATTATCGCCTCTCCGGAACTCCACTTAGAAATCGTCGTAAAGTATTCACTGCGATAATTTCAGTGGGACTGACATCGCACGCATAACCTTGGACGATTATAATGAAGTAATATATCTGAAGCAACCGTGGATCGTCCAGCTTGAGCTCATGAGATATTTGATACTGGTTGCTGAGATGACGCATTCATTTCTCGGCTTTTTCACGACGAATAGTCGGGTCCGATCCCGAGGCGAAGGAAGAGCTATTATTTCTCCGGGAATCCGCATCTAGAGAGATTACGGTAGTTCTCTTTGGTTCGAATGCGCTCGGATATTCACTCTGCATGGCTCGTCTGATGCGATCGGGGTGCATTATTTCCGAGGCGGAGTACACCGTTGCTTCGGTCGTTCTCGAAACGACATGCGCGGAAGTCGACGACCACCCCTTAAAACGGAATTCGAACAATGAGCGGTGAGGAGTGAAGAGCAATGACCTGCGAGCAGACGTTCGCTAGTCTGTGATAGCTCGTCGATGGCTCAATGACTGAGGTACGAGGGCAACCGAGTAGTTTTACAGGAACCCTGTCTCTTCACCGATCTTCGGCGGAGAAGCGCAGGTGAAAGTCGACGAGATTTCACTCTCCTCGTCATATTGTCGATCCTCGAGCTCGAGGCGCTCTCTGGAGCCGGCTCTATGAGCGTGGCTAGATGCGTCCTGCGACGAGAGACCGAGCAGGTGCTCCCGAATCTCCTTTGTTCCCCCGGTTGGCCGAATGATCATCTGCGTCCCGGAAACCTCCGATCCTCGGATATCCCCACCTCTCCGGTCTCCTTGCCGGTGGTGAAATCCGTCTCTTTCCTGGTTATCCGTCTGGATCCGAGACCATATTGCATTTGTTTTGGTTCGTATGCTGCGCTTAGTCGCACATCGGTGAGCGACTCCGCGTTGAGCAGTGGCGTTTATCAAAGGTGTTCGTCGAAATACGTTATCGAATTGACGTCTGGGATCCACCAGTGTAGAGCTCCGGGCAAGAGATCCGTACACTCCGTATCCGGCTGAGGAGCTGTATCGCTTCTCCTCGACGCCACAGCCGGCTCGTTTTCGCACGCGGTCTGCAAGAATTCTGAGGAGCACTGAAGGCAAGCATATCGTGTGACGGGTGCTCGCCTCGATACTATCCCGTTCTCGTTCTCGAATTAAGGCTCGACCGAGCATATCATGTCCAAGCGACATCGTGTTGATCTTGGAGACATGAATCCACCGAAAAGGCCGTCTGCGGCACCTTCGTCGTCATCTTCAGATGCGAGCTTCGTTCAGACAGGGATCAACATGATCAATCAACAGCCCTACTCTAAGAAATACTATGAGATCTTCCGTAAACGCATCACGCTCCCGGTATGGGAACACCGAGAGAAGTTCTTCGATATCATGGAAAAGAACCAAATCATGGTACTCGTCGGTGAAACGGGTTCCGGTAAAACAACCCAGATCCCTCAGTGGTGTGTGGAGAGCATGCGTAAGCGGCAGCCGGTTCTTGGCAAGCCTCAGAATCAACAGAGACGTGGAGTTGCTTGCACGCAACCGAGAAGAGTAGCCGCAATGTCGGTGGCTACTCGAGTAGCCGAGGAGATGGACGTGGTCCTGGGTCAAGAGGTGGGTTACTCGATTCGTTTCGAGGACTGCTCGGGCCCCAAAACCCTCCTTAAATACATGACTGATGGTATGCTTCTCAGAGAGGCAATGTCTGACCCCTTGATGGAAGCTTACGGCTGCATCATGCTCGACGAGGCCCACGAGCGAACCCTTGCGACCGATATTCTCATGGGAGTGCTAAAACAAGTCGTCCAGAGACGACCCGATATCAAGATCATCGTCATGTCAGCCACTCTAGACGCAGGGAAATTCCAGAAGTACTTCGATTCGGCTCCACTATTGGCAATTCCGGGGAGAACCCACCCTGTTGAAATTTTCTACACTCCTGAACCCGAGCGAGACTATTTGGAAGCTGCTATCCGGACCGTGACTCAGATTCATATGTGCGAGGAAACTGAAGGAGACATCCTACTGTTCTTGACGGGTCAAGAAGAGATCGAAGAGGCATGTAAACGCATAAAGAGAGACATCGATAATCTTGGCAGTGACGTTGGCGAGCTGAAATGCATTCCTCTGTATTCGACTCTTCCCCCTAATATGCAACAGAGGATCTTCGAACCCCCTCCGCCAAACAAACCGAATGGAGGCATCGGTCGGAAATGCGTCGTTTCGACGAACATCGCTGAAACATCTCTTACCATCGACGGTGTGGTCTTCGTGATCGATCCCGGATTCGCAAAACAAAAAGTTTACAACCCCCGAATCCGAGTCGAGTCCTTATTGGTGTCTGCGATCAGTAAAGCCAGCGCCCAACAGAGAGCAGGCCGTGCTGGTCGAACGAAACCCGGGAAATGTTTCAGATTGTACACGGAAAAAGCGTTCAAATCGGAGATGCAGGAGAATACTTACCCGGAAATTCTCCGGAGTAACCTCGGAACCGTCGTGCTCCAACTTAAGAAGCTCGGGATCGACGATCTGGTTCACTTCGACTTCATGGACCCTCCAGCACCGGAAACATTGATGAGAGCCTTAGAAATGTTGAACTACCTGGGCGCTCTAGACGATTCCGGTGAGCTTACTGAAATCGGCGGCGTGATGGCCGAGTTCCCGCTCGATCCGCAGATGGCCAAAATGTTGATCTCTTCGAGCGGTTTCAATTGCTCGAACGAGATCCTCTCAATCACCTCCATGTTATCAGTTCCACAGTGTTTCGTAAGACCGAACGAAGCGAAAAAAGCGGCTGACGATGCTAAAATGAGGTTCGCTCATATTGACGGAGATCACTTGACCATGCTCAATGTGTATCATGCCTTCAAGCAGGCTCACGACGATCCGCAATGGTGTTACGAGAATTTTGTGAACTACCGTTCCTTGAAGAGTGCTGATAATGTTCGGAACCAGCTTTCCCGAATCATGGATCGCTTCAACCTGTCGCGAAAGTCGACCGACTTCAATTCGAGGGACTACTACTTGAACATCAGGAAAACCCTCATTTCAGGCTATTTCATGCAGGTGGCCCATCTGGAGAGGAACGGTCATTACCTGACCATCAAAGACAATCAAGTCGTGCAACTACATCCTTCTACGTGCCTCGATCATAAACCAGAATGGGTCGTATATAACGAGTTCGTACTGACCACCAAAAACTACATCCGAACCGTCACGGACATCAAACCCGAATGGCTCATCAAATTAGCGCCTCAATATTATGACATGGGCAATTTTCCGCAGTGCGACGCTAAGCGTCAGCTAGAGATGATAGCAGCGAAGCTCGAGGCGCAAAAATATGCCTAATGGAAACCAATATCGATCAATGGCGTGCTGATAACGCCGTTGTGTATTTATATCCGCCCTCGCTCTCCACCATTAGCTCTCTTCTCCTTTCCTGTTCTTCAAGTGTCCTTTGCTACGACCTATCGAATCATCTGTACGTCGATTTCTGAATCTATGAGAATTCCAATGATGATTTCATGTTGATATGGAAGAGAATAGTTGACTGCTCCGAACTTCCCATTTGTATAACGTGTACATGAAATATTCGAGAAGGGTTAAAAATAGGGATCTGCGCAAGCGATCATAATAAAAAGAATCGAGAAAAACACGAAGTGATTCCTCAATCAAACTCGGCATCCGAGAATGCTCTCGAGACATGCGATCGCCCCCTGAACTCAGCTCCTGAATCCTGCCCTCCTGACTCCACCACTCGATTCCTGAGCGGAGAAAACTTCATGAGGCGATTCGATAAGCTACCTTATGGTCTAACTCAGTCAGCCTCAGACCGGCAGACCCTTGTATGCCCAGCAATAATTCTTCGAGAGACGAATAGGTAGATTTTCGCCATCGCCTCGCTCTCTTTCTCACACTTTCTCGAGCAAGGTCTTCCTCTGGCCGGGTGCCCTCCTCCGTGGAAGCGTTCGCAGGCCGAGCGGCGACAAGGCCACGATTCGGTGGAGGGCCACGATCGGTTGAACGAATCTGGTCTTCTCTATTACGCTCGATGCACCTTCGGAATTACTTTGAGGATTGCTTGAAGCGCTCTATCCATGTCAAAAAGTGAAAGGTGTCACGGAAGACGGGGGTCAGCTCTGAAACCGACGAGAGCAACAACCGTCCGGCCGCTCCGATGTGTGAGAGACTACGCAAGCGAAGGACGTTTCGCGTCGCATAGAAAGGTGACGTTTATTATTTGTGTGGAACAATAATACCGTAAATCTTCTATTAGAAGCCCTGTTACCAATAGTAGCCCCTCCCCAATACAAGCCCCCCTCGGGGAGGTTCGTAAATATAGAAGCCCCTCTCCAATAGAAGCCCATCTCTCTAATAGTAGCCCCTCTTCCGTCCGAAATCGCACGTAACCGTGCTATTCCGGAAGATTTTCCCCTCATCGTGGAGAGCCGAGAGAGCACCGACGTCACCCGACTCGAAACGTCAATCTGTGCACAACGATTACGGGAGACTCTCGTTCCACACTGTTGTGTGTCTAAACACGCAAACGTCGCTTCTCAGACGAATAACTTCGTTTAGTATCTCATGCGGTCACAGTAGCGCTCGGCTAAGGCTCAGGAGAGCTGTGCATCTCGAAGAATGGACGAGATTTCTCTCCTATCTCAAAGCATCGGCAGTTCTCCATTACTCGATCGTCAGGGTTCTGCGGTTCGAGTAATTATAAGCCCCCCTCCTATAGAAGCCCCTCTCTAATACAAGCCCCTCTGAGAAGGCACTCGGGAAAAATAGAAGCCCGGGCTTCTAATAGAAGATTTACGGTACGCGGTATATTCCTCGCGGATGAAGCACTCAGTCGGGAAAGCTTCGTGCGCCGAGTTTCCCTCATGGAGCCAGCTACCGGATACAAGGGTTCGGGTGGAGGAGGCAGGAGGCACAGGCCGACGCCAGAATGAGAACGATCCATACGATATTTCCACCATTCTATCAACGGTCGTAGGCGAACGGGTCGGATAAGCAGTCTCGGGGTGCTCGACCGAGGTTGCTCTAGGATTTTTGCTCTCAAAGATCAGCACAGCTGAGAGCACCAAACCTTTGAAGTATGAATCGAGATCACCACACCTATGAAGTATGAACCGAGAGACCAGGCGGTTCGCCGCGTAGAAAGACGTCTCGGACCGTTTCCAGCTCGCGAGCCGGGAGCGGAGCTGTAGCCCATGAGTCTCAGCTGGAGAGCTCGGAGGGACGGAGCGATATCCATGGGGACCCGGAATTGTCGTGCGAGGCAGCCCAAGAGCAGTTTTATTTCACTTTCACGCGATCCAACTGGCACCGAAGGATCCGAGTCCGAAGTTCATGATCACGGACCTGTGATCTCAGTCTGGGCAATCGAGTCTTACACTGTTCGCCTGCTTCCCTCAACCTGATGCGTGTCGGACGCGAGCGTGCTCCATCGAGCTGTCAGCCTCGGTCCAGATGTGTCAGGGACGCCTCATCGCATGCCGGAGAGCTTCCGATTCGAAAATTGCCGACTTCGGGAAATTAAAGATCCTCCGCTCATGGATGGCAGCAACAAAGCCTCTGGATCACCTCATTCATATGATATCTTCTCCTTCAAGAGAAACATGGAGTCACCGGTTTCGGTGGGAACGCGGGTCTCTGTCGACGGCTATTACGGGACAGTTCGCTTCTACGGTTCGGTGAAGGGAACCCAGGGAACGTGGCTGGGGATCGAATGGGACGATGCTACCCGAGGGAAACACAACGGCTGCTATAACGGAACCCAATACTTCAAAGCAAGGTGAGAGCGACTTGTTATCTAATCCTTGTGTGTAATTTATTATGAACACTGGCAAAGAGCCCATAGATAAGACCGCAATCCTTCCGGGGACTCCGTCTGATCTTGAGCTATGCTTTCCCCCTCAGACACGCGACCGGTGGATCTTTCGTGAGACCTACAAAAGCCGATTTGGGAATATCAGTGAGAGAAGCCATCAAGATGAAGTATTTCAACCACGAGACTGATGAGAAGCTGAAAAAAGAGATCTCCGAAAACTCAAAAGATGTGTGGCTCCTCGGTAACGTAGGCAACACTCAGAGCAACCTGAAATGCATCGAATTCGTCGGACCTGAAAAGATATCCGAACTTCAGAGGTTAGTAGAAGTAGAGCATGTCTCCTTAGCCTGCTTCTCATTCATGACCATGATGTTTACTGTAAAAGAACCCCCGTGAGATCAGAAACGGAGCATACTTCTGCGGGGCCTGACCTTATTGCATCTTCCAGTCGTCAAGAGCTTCTTCGAATCGTGAACTTGCGGAATATGCCGGTTTCCTCTGCTGGTCGAGAAATATGTTCGGTGGCGCCCATGATCGTCGAACTGGATCTCTCGCACACTTTGTTATCGCACTGGGATTGCGTAGCGCTGATCGCCCAACAGCTGACGCATCTGACAGAGTTGAAACTCGGGTACGTTTCTCCTTCAGGGCTCAACATGAGGTGGATGATGCTCACGATCTGTTCTTCCGTATTCTCAATCCTCATCATTCATCATACGCATCATTGCGATCCCTCCGAATATATACATGATAGAGGCGGATTCCCGATTGGTTGTCCGTAGCATTCTGCGAACGCTTCTGATCGGGTTTGTTATGCGTTCATCCCTTCATAAATACCTTTCGTCCCGCAGGAAAAATCATTTGCAAGTCCCTAGTCTTGTCACGAAGCATCAAGAAGCATTCCAATCTGTGAAGCGGATCTGGCTGGAGTCAAGCAGCTTGACGTGGGAGCACATTTTACAGTTGGCTCCCATGTGGCCTCATATAGAAGCGCTCGAGGTGATTTCCTCTTCATCAGATTCGAGTCGCGAATTGGACGAATCTCAGCGGATGAGAAAATTTGGATTGAATGACGCGAAAAGCATCGAGAATCTAGAGCGTCATGATAAGCCGATATTCTCCCACAGGTGAGCGCAAACAACATCGGTGTGCTATCGACTCCACCCAAGTCAATATTCGGAAATTTAGAGGCATTGAGTCTTCAGGAGAATCCTCTGTCGTCATGGCAAGACGTCGTGAAATTGGCTTCTCTCCCAAAGTGAGTTTGTCAAATATGTGTCTATGCTCCGTACTTTCTTCATGGCTCAAGGTGCGGAAATGGACCCGTTCTCTGCAATCCACCTACAGCAAATCTTTCCTATTCACAGACTCCGCGAGCTGTATTTGAATGGGTGCAAAATCGAAGAGATCTCATTCCCAACCGGCGCTGGAGGAAAAACTGAGCTTTTCCCGAAGTTGGAACGATTGGAAGTTACCAATAATAAAATATCCTCGTGGAAGAGTGTGGCCGAGCTCGAGAAGCTTGCATCTCTGAGAACTCTCCGGGTCAACGGGAACCCGATAACTCACGGAAATTTCGAGGACGTGAGTACGAGATCATAAAGGGGAGCTGGTAGCGGTGGACGAGGACCTCCAAACACGAAGTTTGGCTGACCCCCGTAGTGAATGAATTATCATGATTTCCAGGTGTTCTACGACATCATCGGTCGCCTAAGTGTGGGCAACATAAACCGAATGGACGTGAGTAAGGACACGCGTAAAGAAGCGGAACTCTACTACCTCAGAAAGTGAGGGCGATTTCCTGTTCTTTCGAGCATATCACAGTCGCGGTTATAGCTCATTCATAGCTCGGGAGCGCAGATTCTATTGGACCGCTAACATGATTGATTCTATCTTGGGCAGGTATTTCCCTGAATATCAAAGACTGCGGGAAGGAGAAAACCATCGTTGCGAGTTTCTGCAAAGCCATCCCAGGTTTCAGAAGCTTCTGGATATTTACGGAGAACCGACGATTGCCGTAGCTGATATCGCGCCGACAACTATCAAGAGCAGCTTGATATGTGAGTTGATACGTCTGAATCAGAGCCTCTCCCGCTCCCCTCCCGATTCGGACCTCCGGAACTTTCGAAAGAACTCCTAACGGATTTTCTCTTGGATCACCGCTCCCGTTCTAACTGACGCTTTATTTATCTAGCTCTGGAGTTCGTCGTTGTTGACGAACCATCTGTCGAGCCGATCGCGAAAAAAATCCCAAGCACCGTGACTTTAGGAAACTTGAAGCGAATGGTAAGATCCTCGGGGCGTTCTTGAACTCCTGACTGCTCCGAAATAACTGATCAGAAAGTCTCCAACGGCTTTGTTCCTTGCATCGTCAACCATTTCCAGGTAAACGTCTTGTTCAAGCGTAAAGCGGCGCGGAAGCCTCAACTCACATATTTCCCAACGAATGGTCGATTTGGAGACACAGGCCGGCCCGAGTACGAGTTCGGAAACGATCTTCGCGACTTGAATTTCTACGACATAGAAGACGGAGACAAAATTTTTGTCCGATGGTGAAGGCCGCACCGTGATCCTCAATCGGATAGATTGCAAGAGAGAGTGGTGTGAAAAAATGAATAGACTTGTGATTGGTGGGCTCAGTCAGAGGAGCTTGTAAAGATGCGTCCCGATCCTCTGTGAGCTCCCGTAAGCTAAGGAAGGCCCGTGAAGAGCTCCTCCCCTTTGGGGGAGGGGGATCCTGCTAGGGATCCACATATCGTCTGTCAATCCAATTCCAGGGGCTCCAGATGTCGATCACGGAGTCAATGTTCCCGATGGACGACCAGCTCATTGTCTTGGACCATTGAGATTGCTCTGCCAATAGTCGATGTTTCACAGTGCCAATGGAGCGCTTTTTGTTGACGAGCTTCATTGTTATGAATAAATTCATTTTCGAACTTCGATCCCCGCCTTCTCGAAACTCCTTGACGTCTTAACTCCTTCGTTTTATGTACACCTGTTCACAGCTCAGATCGATTATTTTTCAAAAGGATTGGATGGGTCAATGTCATTACAACATAACCCCCTTTTCTCGCGTCCTTCTCAATGAATGGCTAGACACAACGACGTCTGCTGAGCCGGATAATACACACCTATCCTGATTTCATGGGGGGGGGGACACACAACCTCGGCACCCCCGCGAAACTCCACCATGCATTAGCATGAGCTCGGCTTCGATGAGTTCCGAGGTGAATACGCCGAATGTCAGTCCCAAAGGCATGCATTTGGAAAATTAGATATCGACATTGCATAATGAAGCATCCTACCATGGATGGGCGGCCACAGCGCCTCCCGAGAACCCACAGCGCAAACTCGATTCAGTGAAGCCCTTCGGCCAAAGGTGCCAAGTGACTCCTTCGTGAGACCATGAACTACACCAGGATTTTATTGTTCGTTTTTCTAAGCGTTTGCTACACATACCAGGTCTCGCAGATCATTCTGGTACGTATTCCCTCCGAGAGTCCTTATACGGAGATACTGACGAGGACAAGAACTCGTCCTGCTAATCGCAACGGATGTCCGACGACTTGGATAAAACAACTCTACCCGAGAAACTCGCATTCTTTGAGCTAGGGATTGTTCAAGGCGAATGGATGGTCTCCCTCGGGTGATTGTGAAAGTCTCGCTTCTGCTCTTCAGGACTTTCAGAGCTACCCAACCACCATCGATCTGACCACGAAGGGCCATGGTACATTGAAGTTTCCCGCGATATCGACGTGCATTACGAATTGGATTGATCGAACGAAGTTTGAAACGCGCTTCCCAGACGTACGGATCATTCTTCAAATTGCGGCTTTGAATTGAGGAGCTATCGAGTGCCTACTCGGAGCCCAATCTTCCTCTCAACAATACCTAGCACTTCCTCGTCGAGGTCCCACGCTCTTTGCTCTCGTCCTCTCGGAGATTCTCTAATCGGATTTGTCTCCATTCCATGCATCCCGCTAGTCGCTCAGATTTCGCTGCGTTCGAGACACTCTCTAGCTCTAAAGTGTGCAGCATATCTCCTCAGGTCAATCTCGAGGGAGTCGATTGGAGGGAAGAGGTCGTGGAAACCTTGCGGAAAGAAGGGAATTTGGCTGAGGTCGCTATATCCGCAGAGACTCATTTCCAGTTTGGAGTCTCAAACCCAACATTTTATTTCGTCGAGTTTTATCTCAAGAAGTCATCGATTTCGATTTCGCATTCTTCTCTCCCCAAGTACATGTGTTTCTCTCTCAACTGGACGAGCGAGCTTTCGATGCAAGTTGTACATCAGAACCCGCTGATTTTCAGTAAGACACAGCATGATGAAGCTTCAATGATTATCGGAAACATCGCTAGCTATCATATTATTCTCCTGGAGGTCGATCCGCCCACTGATGCTATGGTGTCTATCTCTGCAGAGTCAAGCCTGCTGTTCTTCTGGGTGCCTGAAAATATCCTAGAGTTGGATCCATATCATATGACGATGGCTTTCCACGACGTGGACGGGAGTAGCGCCGGTGAACGTCCAGGAATTGTTCTTGAGCCCTCAGGCGAATACGTTTTCAACATTGAGCAGGTGCATAGGCTTTCGCGCCTTAGTGACGAAGTGTTGACATCCCAGTCGGAACCATGATTCATGCGTGCTGGTTTGCGCTCAGATCAATGGCCCTAATTTTCGACCTTTGTCATCAGAGGGAGATCGTCTATTTGCCAAAACCGTACGATACCGACTGCACGGACTATCTGACGTGGCCTCGGCACCCAGAGCTCAAATCTATCTTGACGAAGGCGGTTCGTATCTCTCGGTCAAACAATCGTTTGCACTTCAAGCGGGAACATCACGTATTCCTCCTTCCTTAGTGCGATGCGATCCGTGACTGTCTTACATCTTGATCCTAGGACTGATCTTTCGTAGTACTAAGGAGTAGTCCCATGATTCAGATGTGCGAGCATGATTGTAAGAACGAGATACTCTTGGAAAAATGTGGGTGTTTATCAGAGGATTATCCTGCTCGGCACCTGATAAATACTACTACCTGTTGGACGAATAGTGAATGTCAAAAGGGGTATTCAGGTAAGCGACAGATTTGCTCCATCAAGGCTCTCTAATCGGAGCCTCACCAAAGCTACTGCAGAGTCTAGATTGATATGATAGACCGCATATTTTCCAAGGACGTCTTAAGTCGGGCGAGCTCTTGCATTATTCAGGTATGATCGCTAAGACCTGCTCGAAACGTTGCGGGAAGGCCTGCCACAACATCATTTACGACGCCAAACAGGCCCATTCCAAAGTGAGGGTCCTGAGTGCACCGACGCATATTTCGAAATATTTGATCCGAATAAGTTGCGAAATTCGATGCTCAGACTCGAGAAATGCAGCGCGCAAGATCCAGATCATGGTTCTTCCTCGGCCCAGAGATAACTCATTTAAATTCGCGACAGATGTACGATCCACAAGAAGAGGGCGAATACTACATCAAACTCATTCTCTTAATGACGTCACGAAACGTCGACGTGATGGAGTTCATCCCGGCTCTGACTTTCACCCAAGTGCTAGGTCTCATTGGCGGATACCTCGGGCTTTGGCTCGGTCTATCGCTGGTCACGATAATCAGCGGAACTTTCTTCTTCGTAGGTTCCCGGCACGAACGCCGCATTCGTTTGAAAACATTCCACTCACGAGGAAGGCAGATAATAATGACTATTTTTTGAGGAGACGCTCGGCAAAATCAGCGCCTGGTATTCCGAGCGAATCCCCTACATCCCAGCAGCTCTTGAAAAAATTGTGATCGTCAGGTTGCCAAGGCTGTCGTGAACAGGATCCGGGGTGACGTCTACAATATCCTCGCGGTCAACTGTATCTACCGGACCTTACGTTTTCTGTGCATGTGTATCTGTGTTTACGCTTGCGGACTCGCCATTTTCGTAGATACCGGATCATATTTGAAATATAGAACGACAGTCCGAGTCGATCGCGGTAATCTCTCCGCCCTGGAGTTTCCTGCCTTGACGATCTGCAATATTCAAGCGTGAGTATCATCTCGTACAACTTCGCGCTCGGTATTGTGGAGGCTCACTGAAGAATGAGCAAAGCCGACGCTCAAGAGGGCATGGACAAATAGGGACTCGACTCAGTGAAATCTCTATTTCGCAGGATAAACTTCTCCCGTGTCTGTTGGGAGTACGACGGCACCGAGTGCAAAACGAGCGATCCCGAGGCGATACTAGGGAATCGATTGACCCTGGTCAAAGAACTCATCAAGTTCAGCTATCCTATCTCGGAATTCGTTCTCGCATGCCAGCTAAAGTACAGGGACTATGTCTGCAAACCTGCGGACTGCCTCCATCTGTGAGTTTCGCCTTGCCCCTGTAGGAACATGTGGATTGCGTGCCCGTGAAAATGCATGAAATGCCGGCGTTATGAGCTGTGACGGAATTCGCACGACGGAATCTTCCAGCTGGAAAATACAATATACCTATTTGAAAACGGGAGTTTGCTACACGTTCGATCCGGGCCTTCTGCAAGAATATCGGGACTGTAAAGAGCCTTGGAAATACGAACTCAGTGTCAGGTCAGCACTCGGATGTGCAGTATCCGTGTTTTAATACTGATTACCTAGCTCACCCTTCGTGAGCCTGAATTGGCTGAGTACGTTACGGATTCCCTTTTTCTTCAGACTCGGCGCCACGTCTTCGAAGGAAATAACACTTTCGGGGTTCTTGCACCAACAGAACACCTTTACATCTGCCATGCCAAATACGTTCATGTTACGGACGGGAAAGGTGAGAGATGGGAGGGAAGGAGCGTTGCAACCCCGAAAGCGGGATTGATTACGAAATGCGGAAACTCTATACAGATTTACATGGTGACGGCCGAACAGAAGACCTTCTCTGCCCTTCCTCGCCCGTATGAAACGCAATGCGCCGATTACGTCCGGATTGCGAATCGCATGAACTACACCGAGGGAGTAAGTTTCAATTGTGCTTTCGTTCGACTCTCTCGTCCTCGATTCGTTTTAAGAATAGAGAACCCCAGGTATTGTGGCTCATTGCCGGAGTAACTCTCCTGGGCTTCCAAGCTGTGCTATCTTGGCTCCAAGAGATCGGAGGAAGTCGACGGAAGACTTGATTCTTCGGGAGCTCCGCCGGCTTTCACATCAATGTCTCAGAATCGGCATCGGGGAAAAGTCTGCGAGGAACGCTTTGTATCGACGATTCCCGACCAGAGCAGGACCCCTGATTGGTCTTCGGAATTGGGAATTCCCCGCGGCGTCGGAGTCGCTAGAGCTCGAAGTTGACGCGTTCTCATTGCGAAGCCGGGCAGAGGCCAGTCCTCGGTCGTGGTGAGGACCAGGCGCGATCGATCGAGTATCACCGGAAGCCCGGACTTGCGGACTCATAGGAGCCCGGAGACCGATCCAGGGGTCGCCCGAAACACTAAGCGGAGGGGTTTCCATATATAACACAGGGTCCTGGATCGGGACCTAGAATGGTCGTGGCTTTCAGAAAACTCCACCTGAGCGATAGAAAAATTGGGATAAAGATTCTCACTCGGGAGTCAGACTCCGTGATTCCACTAGTTCCCTGGTTTCGGCGTTCCCTCGATTATGCATAGATGTTCCTCATGCCGATCCTGAGATATTTGTGCGGGCGCTGCGGAACTTCCCGCAGAGAGTTTCTTCCGGTATCTCCCTTCGATGTTCCGACTTCTTCGATGGGAAATCCAAGTATCTCAAATCGCAATGAGCGATACTTCTCTCAGCACATGAGTCATGGGTCCGAAAATCGGGCTGGATTGAATTTCGTAGAACATTGACAACTCATCGCGTATCTGCCGGAGTTAGTCGTCATTGTGTAAGGCGTATATGCTCCGGAATTTCCTCGACCATGACCAGTAGGGAAAGTCTCGTCCTATATTCAAGCAAGTCATCCAAGCGGAGGAATGCAGCGAGCGCTGCTTGTCGAGTAAATGGGAGGAGACGTGTGACTGCTACCCAAAGCTGTATGGAGCTCGCGATCGTTTGAACGGGAGTCTCTGCGAATACTTATCCCACCGTAAGCCCTAACCACTGCATCACAGAGCCTTATCGCTAGAATGAATCCGCTCCCATCTGAGTCTTTGAGGAGAGAAATAACTTGAGGAGCCTATTGCTTCCCTCCCCCCAGTTCGATGTATTCAAGAAATGAAAGATCATGCTTGGCTGCCTTGGTGTCAACATGCGTGTACGAGGGCTTGCTACGAGATACGATATCCTTCTCTGAGTTTCACGATCGGTAACATCAGGAACTACCTCAAGAATGAGTAGGTTGAACATTGTTTTTCCGGATATGAATCAAACCCTGGATGAGAGAGCGGCTGTCCCGACTGATCTTTTCAAATACCACGACCTCTGATCAGGAACAGTGAGGTCATAGTCAACGTTCGCCTAGGATCGCTGATCGCGAAGAGCACATCAAACGTTGCCCGCATTACGGTAGGTTGGCGCATCTGAAATTATGAGCGATTCCTATTTACCTAGCTTATTCAGCGGAAAAGTTCAGCGCGTGTCTCAAAGACCGAGCAGAAGAACAGCCATCGTTTGTTTCAGGGCTCAGATATGTTCACCCTCATCTCAGGACATGTTTCCATGTGGCTAGGAATCTCTGCAACGATGCTCTATAGTCTTTTGAAATACGTGCCCGTAAACTGATCAGAACGAATGGGGAATGCAGAACAATACAGACTCTGAATCCTCGCGACTGCTCGATGACTTCAATCTTGTCGCGATGTTTGGGTTCCAGCAGCTCGAATCAATTGTATGGAAATATGTTCACTACATGGAGGTAGTCGTCTCCATAGATGAGGTCATGTATTTCGTCCCTCTCAATGAAAGTCCATTGAATTTTCGAGTATCAACGTTCTCTCGAACTCCTGCTATGCTGGGATCTCAATTTTCCGAGGAGCATGGATCTCCGTTATCACTTGACCCGAAGTCAGTGATTGTGTCCATTCATTCAATACTCATTTATTAGGCAACCTTGTCATCATTGCCATCAAACCTCAACTTCGCACATGATCACATGATATCAGCGGTTCACTCAGAGTGCCGCATCTTCGCGACGGATGAGACAACAAGGCACCATCTGACTAAACTCCTCGCGAGATAGCATCCGCGACTGCCTTCAGTTTTGTTGGCTCAGGAAGTTTCCCCCAAGGCCTGAGGCTCGAATTGTCTATAAAAGTCGTTGAAAGCGAACTGAAGGACGTCATTCACAGCCATGCGGATACTGCTGACGACACTGTTCGTGGTGGGTCTCACCCACGCCGAAGAGCAGTGTAAAAAAGTTCCTGGTAACTATTCTCTGGGTTTTCACCAATCATTTTTTCTGAGAATCGGGAGCATCTTCCTATTGAAAACCAGAGTTCGGTGAATTCCCCGCGGCGCTTGGTGATGAGTTGAGGAGAAAGCGCACCTCCTTTAGAATCTTCGCGCTTGTCTAATCCTTGTGGAATTCCAGATGACGCCGTCATGAAAACGGCGCAACCTCTAGCTGAGAATATCATGAATAAATGTATGCATCTCCTCGATAAATATCCCGTTCCTCTGAACGTCATTGGAGAGGTCAGTGATGAAGGAGCAGTTCCGCGAAAGGTTCTATTCTTCTCCTTGAAACGTTTCATCGAGCTTCAGAATAATTTTCCCGCAGGCTCTCCGCATCATGTGTTCAGACTACGCTAAATGTCACGACAAACTCGAAAAAATGGCGTCGGTAAGGCTCAATTTCGGGATTGCAATTCGTCGAACCGTTTAGAAGCGTGGCAGAAGTACCGCGATTTCTCTTTCCAGGATGAGACTAAGTACCGAAAAGAGATTTCTCTCTGCGTTCGACCTCATCTGATCACTTTCTTGGTAAGCATTGGGCGCCGCCCCCATGGCGGCTGACGAATCAGTGGAGGACTAGAAGTATCGGTCGAACGGTTTAGAAACTTATCTTGGTGACTCTCCATGGACCTGTATCTTCACAGAAAGAACGACCGGAGATCGACCACGATCCCGATAAGCTGGCGGATGATATCAACGTAAGTGGCCCTCGACTCCTCTACCCCATCCTGAAAGTATTCCGATGAATTCCAGGCACGGGGACGAGAACTCCGCTCCCTCTCCCCCTTTTTCCCCGAGCGGTATGCAAGCTGAAGACAGATCGACTTTCATCGAAACGCTAACATTCTTCGAACGTTGACAGGAGTGCATTCTGGAACACATTCCTCTGGATAAGAGTTTGGGAATCGCCACCGGTGTGTGGGTGATGAAAATCCTTGGAATTCCAATCGAAGCGTGAGCACCGATGGTCTTCGAGAGCGGGCCCGAGGCTTTGCTCGATAAGCTGAGCTTATTGTGCGAAGCGAATAGTATCTCCTAGCGCTAGCTCAATTCGTCGTGGGCTCACCCGGGAACACACTTCCTCGGAACTTATGCTTAAGAGAGAAAAAAACACCGAAGAATCGAGAGACATCTCACCTCGTAGTGAGTACCTATGGGGACTCTAATACAAACACTCTAATACAATGACTCGTGTCGCTGAAGAGAAGCACCTCCTCTGAACGGCTTGAGATAATCCGAATAATCGATTTCCGAATTCAATGGTGAAGGGATCCATATATTGTAATTTATTACCTTCGGAAAAAATGCTTGACTCGGAAATAATCGAGGTGCGGGCAGAACCATGAGAAACACACGAAAATGGAGCTGTGCGGGAGACGATGTCAGGTAGAGGCTCAAAATAAAATCTAGCAAGCGTGAACTCAGCATCATGAAAACAACGGGCTGCGGCTATATTCTTCAAGTGCAATTATTCGTCTCCTCGCTCCCATGAACAGGCATGGGGGGGATTGTTCGGAGAAGAAGAGAATACCCATACTTGTCGGCGATCAGCAAGCCATTACGGGAGAGCGAAAAGTTCCAGATGTCGGAGATTTCTATATCGCTCTCAGTGGCCCGCTGGAGACACCAACGGGTTCAACGGAGGCGTTGTCCCGGAGGAGCAGATACCGCTGCGGGCGAACGGAGCGGCGTTCGGCCGTCAGGCTGCTCACTCAGAATAAAATGGCTGAAGACATGGAGACCGACACACGGATAGTCGGGCAAGCAACTTACGACGAGAATAGCGGGTATCGAGCAGAATACGAATGAGGCCGCTGAACAGCGAAAGCCCTCGGTCTTAGCGAAGGAACGCTCAGCAAGGAGCAAATAGGATACAAGTTGCTCTCCAGAGCATCCTACTGAGCAGTCAATCGAGCGAGCGAGCAGTCGAGCCGACGGGCAGGCGGGCCTTCGAGCCGAACAACCGATCGGCAGAGCGATCGACCAAGTAGCGACCCTTAAGCGACCAACGTTTCATCTACAAAAGGAACTAAGTGTGATTAACAACGCCTCTGGTCAGCCACGGAAGATCGTGTCTCTTCCCTGACCCTAACGAGCGACCAAATCGATGAGCCTGGTCCCGTCGGGAGGATTCCAGGGAGCGAGTGTTTACCCAAAGTATCGCCTCCAGTCTGGCCGCTACAGTTTTCCAGGTGGATTCCCTCTCAGCGTCGCATTCCGAGGAAAATTCAGAGGAGCGAGGAAAGAGAAAATCCGTGATCTGAGGTGATTTTTACTGCCGGGCAAAGACCCGAGCACGGTGGCGTGCCAGCGGTCTCGTTAGGTTTGCTCCGTCATTTTTGAACACGTCATTAAAATTAAATTACATCTCTTCATTTTCGTCTCACGCTCGATCCCGCTCCCTCCGTTCCACCGTATGTTCTTCCCAGGCCCTCCCGAGCTATACCGTCTCGGCAAACACTCCCACTCTCTTTCGACTTCCCCGTTTTCCTCCAGCCGCGGGCTGCTCAACTCTGCTCAAAGAGAGGCCTACCTAATGAGGACCACTTGGACCGTCCCCACTTAAACACGCTCCACACGGACCCAGTAATTTCGAGGATCCTGACACGCTCCCGTGCCTCCGCGTAGGACGCGAAATTACACACGGAGATACATTCGCGAGAAACTTGTCATTAAATAAGAAGCCCGAAGCCGAGGAAAAGTCGGCAGTGCCGGCCGCTATTTCGACCAACAACTTTTTTGATAAATAATAAGCCTCCTCATTTCCCCGCTGGGGGGGAACAGTGATTCCATCGAATTCTCCGCGTTGCGCTTGGACTCCTGGAATGAATTGATCTGTAATTATCGGGGAAGCTCCCTGAGCTATCTTCCAGGTGATGTTTTGATTGAACTCGTACGGGGGACAAGGCAAGGCGGTGCGGTCCGTCCGACCTCTAGGAGCCCTCCTCAGAAGCGCATACGGGGCGAGGTCCCCCGGCTGAGCTGTCTCAGCGGCTTATCAGGGCCGCCGCGATAGTGTCCGAGATTCGATGACATAATAACCCAAGAATGACCGAGAACCCAGTATGATCGGGGTCTGAGGCGTCGTTCGCAACACTTGGTGCCTAGAATTTCCAGCATTCGTGCATTTTCCGGACCGCGAGGGGACTTCCGCAGATCCTCTGGTCTATGCCCCGTTCGGGAACGTCACCCCTTTCCCCCGCGGGAGGTTCTACAAAAATGTGGCAACGACAACGACCTCCTGTACCTATGCTCACATTTTCGCATGCCCATGATTTCTTCTCAACAGGAAAGCATCAATCAGGTCACGCTCCTTGATCTCAGAAAATTATGGATGAAAGGTTTCCCCAAAATTCAGAGCCTTGCCAGGCATTTCGTCCATTTCCTTGTGCCCCTCCCCTCTTGAGGCATCGAATAAGAGGAGTGACAAGCATATGCAAACACCGACTTTGGACTACGACGGAGACACTACCCGCGTCTTTCCTTCGATTCCTCCCTCCTGGAATCCTCTCTGCGGGAATAGATGAGTCCATCTGGGAATTCGGATTCGAGTGACTTTGCGAGGCAAGGCGTTCCTCTCTACAAAGCTCCCTTTCTGCTGCTGGTATATCTTCTAATCAGTTGCTTGAGCCGTCTGATATTCGCAGCCCCACGCTATGATGAGCAATGTCAGCGCCCGGAGGAAACTTTTCCGATTCGCTCCGTGCGTCCGAGACCCTCATTACGCAACAAGGAAGCTCTCCGCGACTTGTTCATCCCCATGGATTTGCGGTCGATGTCAAGATTTCGCTCGAATGATTTCACTCACGATGAGGGAGAGCCAGGCTGAGCGAGTATTCGCCGGACAGCCTGCAGGACGGTGAGAGCAGAGAAAGCAAAAACGAGAACTCTCTAATTAATTCGACACGCGCGTCGTAATGTATTTCCGAGCTCGTCCGATGTCAAACCTCGGAGCTCTTGCCCGCAGACCCCGATTTCGCTTGCGACGCATCGACTTTTGAAGTCACATATCCGCAAACTCTGCTCACCGCAGGGGAGGAATATTATTCAATAGATGAATCTCCGCACAGGTCGACCAAATTATTGTGAAGATTATCCCTGTGAGTCTATCGGATGAGCCGAGACATTAGCGTGCACGTAGCCAAACGCTTCTCTCGCAGGGAAGAGATCGGAACTCAATATTCACCGCAAAAACCTTCAAACTATACAACTCTCTCTCATTTGAGAGGCAGGTGCCCTCGGTCGTCGAGAACGAGTGCTTTTTAGGTTTCTCTCCGAGCTCCGGTCCTCCTCATGTTCGTCTCACCGTCGTTCCGTTCCCTTACGCGAGTTCCTCGTTCTTCCTCCACGAGGCATATGCGAACACATTTTTAGTGCATTTAAAAACGCCGCTGAACGTGACCATCCATTTCGCGTTAAACTCTAATGTGCCGTTAGCAACAACTCCCTCACGTTCCGGAGTTGTTCATCCGTTCAGCCTGGATTCCCGCTTATGTTTTCCCGTTTTTCCCTCTCGTTCTGCAACCCCCTCCAGGTCTCGCCATCGCCACACAGCCCCGTCGCATCCGATGAGAGCGACTTCGAGTCCCGGCGGCGCCGACACTAGTCTTGAGCGTCTCTACAGGTACGTACGCGTCCTCCGACCGGACTCCCCATGAGCTCAGATACTGAATGTGGATCAGAAAACTCGTCCCGCTGCAAATTATCTCCGGAGGGGTGTTGGCTCACCGGGACTCCCGTCGCATGAGAAGTCTGGCCCCTGACATCCCGAAGGAATCCGAGAGATCTCGAATTCATTTTGTACGTGAAAGACGCTCAGGGGGCTCCGACGTCATCAAGGTGTCGTCGCGACTTAGCTTAAACAAAGCATCCATAGTGTTCTCCAATCCATATGTTTTTCCTTTAATACTGCGGCGGACTGAAGGAGGCCGGTACCGAGCCCGACTCTTGCTCTCGGATAATTCCGTCTCTCTTGGCGTGGAGACCTTTTGAGAGGCTTTTCTTCTTTCGAGTGTGCGACTTCTCGGCTCTGCCTCACACAGTTGTTGCTCTCTTAAGCTTCACCTGCTTCTCCGGGAAGGTGGCAAAATAAGAAGAAAAAAGCGTTCGTCGCGACTCCTCCGGGCACGGTCTTCCGACTGACTGGAGCCTTTATTGTGAGGGTCTTTTTTCCTCCGGGAAACTTTAACCCAACCAAACAGTCAACTGCGCCACCGTCGAGTGCAGACGGCAAGACTTCACGCTCCCTCAACTGCGATCAGCCAGCCAGTAAATGTGGTTTCCCTTCCGGACTCAAGCCCACTACAACTCAGAAGAGGGCGAAACTTCCACCGCAGCGAACCAAGAGTTTCAGTTTGATGGGGGTTCCCTTTACAACGATCCAATCTTCGAGTACAGATGGCCAACAATTGAAAAAAGTGTCTCCGGCCCCGCACTTCTCCCCCCCCTCCCCGTCGCTTCCGAATATTCTCGTTGTTCGAATTAGCTGAGGACTAGGATGGGCTTTTCCGATGTGGGAGAACGGCATGTGGGAAGATGATGCGGGAGAAACAGGGGAATAGAAGCGGGTATCCGTAAACGTGTTTTTCTCGAAAATCGAAAACATACACAAAGCCTGTGACTACATGCCGCAGGTGCATGAAAGCAGGAGATTCCCCCATCGCCTCATCGACGCTCCGGATGAGCCACAAGAGCGGGTCTGTAGCACGATGTCATCCGCAGGCGGGCTCCTACGAGGACCCATTCACGCGTGAGCACCTGTCGGACACTTTGGAACTCTTCAGGTTCTAGAACGCAGCGCGTTCGGCAGCCTCGGCGCAGTTTCGGCTCGCCCAGCTTCCCTGGGACGCACGGCGCAGGAACGATGTCTCTCTCCGACGGAGAGCGATTTGAGAATCATTTG